GTTCCTGTCCATGAGTTGTGCATATAAGTTCTTTGGCTACTCCATTTCATATACTATTCTTAACCTCCCCCTATTTTGTACCTACCATTTATGCTTCTTATTCCCTGTGCCTTTTCCCCCATTCTCCCCACTTCCTCTTCTGCTGATAACCCTCCATGTGATCTCCATACCTGTGATTCTGTTTCTCTTCTAGTTGTTTGCTTAGTTCATTTTTGCTTTTTAGATTTAGTTTTTGATAGTTGTGAGCATCGTCATTTTAATATTCATAGTTTTGCTTTTCTTTTTCTTAAATAAGTCCATTTAATATTTCATGCAATAAGGGCTTGGTGATAATGAACTCCTTTAGCTTTACCTTGTCTGGGAAGCAGTTTATCTGCCCTTCCATTCTAAGTGATAGCTTTGCTGGGTAGAGCAATCTTGGATGTAGGTCCTTGCTTTTCATCACTTTGAATACTTTTTGCCAGTCTGTTCTTGCCTGCAAAGTTTCTTTTGAGAAATCAGCTGATAGTCTCATGGGAAATCCTTTGTAGGTAACTTCTTTTCTCTTGCTGCTTGTAAGATCCTCTCTTTATCTTTAACCTTTGGCATTTCAATTATGATGTGTCTTAGCGTGGTCCTCTTTGGGTTCAACTTGTTTGGGACTCTCAGTGCCTCCTGGACATGTATGTCTATTTCCTTTACCAAATTGGGGAAGTTTTCTTTTGTTTTCAGTAAGTTGTCATTTTTTTCAAATAAGTTTTCAATTTCTTGCTCTTCCTTTTCTCTTTCTGGAACCCTGTGATTCAGATTTTGGAACATTTAAAGTTGCCTTAGAGGTTCCTAAGCCTCTCCTCATTTTTTGGAATGCTTGTTTCTTCTTTCTGTTCTAGGTGAATGTTTATTTCTTTCTTTTGTACCAAGTCATTTATTTGAGTCTGTTTCCTTCCCTTCACTGTTGGTTCCCTGTACGTTTTTCATATTTCACTCCATGTAGCATTCGTTTCTTTCTTTATTTTGTATCCATACTCAGTCATTTCTGTGAGCATCCTGATTACCAGTGTTTTGAACTCCCCATCTGATAGGTTGGCCCTCTCCTTGTTGCTGAGTTCTTTTCCTGTTGTTTTGATCTGTTCTTTCATTTGGGTCATATTTCTTTGCCTCCTTAATTTATCAGCATACCTGTTATGTCATTAGGAGTGGGGCCTTAGGAATTCACCAGGGTGGGGCAACCTGCTTTGCCACTTTGTGTTGACATCTAGATGAGTATTTCTTCTTTAACTGTTTGGTTGTTGGACATCCATACAGTTAGATTTTCTGGCATTTCTGGTCGTTTTTTTTGTTATTAGAATGGTTGTTATCCTTATGGTTGTGTGAGGAAGTGAAGTGTGTCTACCTATGCCTCCATCTTGACAGGAAATCCAATATTTTATTCTTTTTTAAAGCTGAGTCATATTCCATTTTATTTATTCATTTGTCTATCAATGGATACTTAGATACTCCCATATCTTGATTGTTGTAAATAATGCTACAATGAATATAGGAAGGTATATGCATTTTTGAATTAGTGTTTTGGGTTTCTTAGGATAAATACCCAGGAGTGGAATTGCTAGGTCCTTCTTTGTTTCTTGTTATAGCCTTTGTTTAAAAGTTTATTTTGTCTGATATAAATATTGCTACCCCAACTTTTGTTTGTTAGTTTGTTTGTTTCCATTTGCATGAAATATCTTTTTCCATTCTTACACTTTCAGTCTTCATGTGTCTTACTGACCTAAATTGGGTCTCTTATAGGCAGCATAAGTATAGGTCTTGTATTTTTATCCATTTGTTCCCCTATGCTTTTGATTAGACCATTTAATTTACTAACATTTAAAGTAATTATTGATAAATGTTCAGTTATTACTATTTTATTATTCATATTATTTATTTTTTGTAATACTGGGTTGGTGGTGATGAACACCTATAGTTTTTTCTTGTCTAGGAAGCTCTGTCCTTCGATTGTAAATGATAGCCTTGCTGAGTAGAGTAATCTTGGTTCTCTTTTTTTTTTTTCCATTTTGTAAAATGACTTTATGGGTGTTCAGTTACAGTTGTCTGCATTTTCATCCCACCACTGCCCTTCACCCCAGCCAAACCCACCTCCCTCCCTTGCTTACACTCTTCCCCTTGGTTTTGTCCATGTGTCCTTTATAGTAGTTCCTGAAAACCCTTTCCTGCACTGTCCCCTCTCTCTTTCCCTTCTGGCTATTGTTAGATTGTTCTTAATTTCAATGTCTCTGGTTATATTTTGTTTGCTTTTTTCTTTTATTTATTATGTTCCAGTTAAAGGTGAGATCATCTGGTATTTGTCCCTTACTGCTTGGCTTATTTCACTTAGCTTAATGCTCTCCAGTTCCATCCATGCTGTCACAAAGGGTAGGAGCTCCTTCTTTTTTTCTTCTGCATAGAATTCCATTGTGTAAATGTACCATAGTTTTCTGATGCACTCATTTACTGATGGGCACTTAGGTTGCTTCCAGCATTTGCTATTGTAAATTGTGCTGCTATGAACATTGGGGTGCATATGTTCTTTTGGATTGGTGTTTCAGGGTTCTTAGGATACAGTCCTAGCAGTGGAATTGTGGGTCAAAAGATAGGTCCATTTATGTTTTCTAAGGTAATTCCATACTGTTTTCTCCAGTGGCTGCACCGGTCTGCATTCCCACCAGCAGTGCACTAGGGTTCCCTTTTCTCCACATTCTCACCGGTACTTGTTTGTTGATTTGTTTTTGGTGGCCATTCTGACCAATGTAAAGTGGTATCTTACTGTGGTTTTAATTTGCATCTCTCTGATGGCTAGTGATGCTGAGCATCTTTTCATATGTCTCTGGGCCCTCTGTATGTCCTTCTTGGAGAAGTGTCTGTTCAAGTCTTTTGTTCATTAAAAAAATTTTTTTTTTGTCTTCCTGGAGTGGAGTTGTGTGAATTCTTTATATATTTTGGAGATCAAACCCTTGTCTGAGGTATCACTGGCAAATATATTTTCCCATATAGTTGGTTCTCCTTTCATTTTAATGCAGCTTTCAGTTGGTTCTCTTTACATTTTAATGCAGTTTTCTTTAGCCATGCAGAAGCTTTTTAACTTGATGAGGTCCCATTTGTTTATTCTTTCCTTTATGTCCCTTGCTTTAGGGGACATAACAGTGAAGATGTTGCTGTGTGGGATGTCTGAGATTTTCCTGCTGATATTTTCCTTTGGAACTTTAATGGTGTCACAACTTATATTTAAGTCTTTTATCCACCTTGAATTTATATTTGTGTATGGTATAAGTTGGTGGTCAAGTTTCATTTTTTTTGCATGTGTCTGTCCAGATCTCCCAACATTTATTGAAGAGGCTATCTTTACTCCATTTTATGCTTCTTCCTGCTTTGTCAAATATTAATTGACCGTAGAAAGTTGGGTTTATTTCTGGGGTCTGTGTTTTGTTCCATTGGTCTATGTGTCTCTTTTTATGCCAGTACGAGGCTGTTTTGATTACAGTAGCCTTGTAATACAGTTTGGTATCAGGTATTGTGATCCCTCCTGCTTTGTTCTTTTTTCTCAGAATTGCTGCAGCTATTCAGGGTTGTTTATAGTTCCTTATGAATTTCTGAAATGTTTGTTCTGTATCTGTGAAATACGTCATTGGTACTTTAATAGGAATTGCATTGAATCTATAAATCGCTTTGTGCAGTATGATCCTTTTGATGATAATTCTTCCAATCCATGAGCATGGTACATGCTTCATTTGTTTGTGTCTTCCTTAATTTCTTTCTTCAGTGTTGTATTGTTTCTGAGTACAGTTCTTCTACCTCCTTTGTTAGGTTTATTCCTAGGTACTTTATTTTTCTTGTTGCTATATCAAATGGTTTTTTTTTCTGATTTCTATATCTGATATTTCACTGTTGGTGTACAAAAATGCCTTTGATTTCTGAATATTGACTTTGTATTTTGCTGTTTTGCCAAATTCATTTATTAGGTCAAGTAGTTTTTTTTACTTGTAAAATTTTTAATTAAAAGGAAAAATAATTATAATTATGTGCTATAATAATTTTTATAATTATTATAAAAGCATTTACTTTTCCCAGTGAGAATAATTATAATTTATATTAGGGTCATTTTTCTTTACAGGATGATAATAATATAGAAAGTATGATGAAATGCCCAAGTCACCATTTCACAAAACCACCATGTTTGCAGAGAAGTGTGCAAGTGTTTTCAGTGAATACTAAAACCATCATGTGAACATAATATTTTCCTGATGCCCAGATATCCCTGTAATATGGAAACTTGTCTTCTTAGATTCTCAGGGGTATCTTTCTGGAAAAGAGTTGAAAAGTAAAAGCATCACAGTGATGAATAAAAAATGTTTTTCAGTACAGAGAAGTAATAAAGAATAATGGGGGGCATTGTAAGAGGGTTTTGGGTAGTTGCTGAAGGCCTGAGATTTTAGTTTGTAAATCATGGAATTTGAAACCTTGTTTTTTGGAAAATATTCTAGGGGTTTTATTTGGCCTAAAGTTTAAATGAAGTCTACATGGTTTATATCGGTGGTCACTGGAGGTCATGGTTTTCTCCTTTCCCCAGACTTTGTTTTATTAAATTCACTGTTGATAATGCAAGAAATACCTGTTTCATTTTGATGATTTAGAGTTGCATGGGAGAAATTAGACTTCTTCAGTTTATATTTTTCTTTAGTGGAGTCATGAGATAGATTGGCTAAGGGAACAAATTCAATCCTAAATTTTGATCTGAGTGGTATCACAAGTAGGACTCTAACCAGAAATGTTTGGTTTTATGTATTTTCTAAAGGAAACAGATATATACTGTATCAAGATATTATGCAAGTGAAATTATAGTCTTTGTGTATTTTAGTGATTTAAAAGACAAAACCTCAGATTGTTTTCAAGCCTGTTAAAAGTTTTTTCAGCTGTTATTATCATAAGATAATAAGAACTTATTATTTTCTCCAAGATGAATAAATTGTTAATTTGTTATTTCCTAGGAAGAATATAGAGCTGAAGGTATCAGCTGGCACAATATAGATTATATTGATAATACCTGTTGTATAAATCTTATTAGCAAGAAACCAACAGGACTCCTCCATCTTTTAGATGAAGAAAGCAAGTGAGTATGATGTTTTTCAATTTTGTTATAGGCCATTTGGGCTTTTTATGTCTCAGTCCTTGGCTTTCTTCTAACATTGTCAAATAAAAAGCCAAAGTTTTTTTTTTAATGCATTTTATGTGTATGTGTGTGTATTTTGTGTTTCTAGGAAATTTGGATGGGACTTCACTAACTCATTAAAATTTTTTTTGTCTCGCGTTCTTCTACGGAGTTACTTTGATGTTAAATTTGTTGGCATTAATGCGTTTTGTGTTTGTTCTTTTCTTGAATTGAGTTTGTACATGAGATGTGTTTGCTCTTTTCATGTTTAGCACAAACATAGCATGATAGATTAGTGATGCTGCCACAACTGACATATGCCAATATTTACCATCCTTTATTAATACAATTTAATATACCAAACTTATCTCTAAGCTTCAGAAATAAAGTTTCACTTAACATCCTCCAGAGTGTTGTGAGTTCACTGTAAAGTACTATGTATAGTTAAATTATCCTAATAGATAGAACATTTAGAATTGAAGAAACTGAAGTCATGGAGAGTGTGTGTGTTTTCTGTGATTTTTTAGTAAAATATTTAGAAATCCAATGAGATCACCTGATATCTAGGCTAATATATTATACCCATTAAACTAGGATATAAATAAAATATTGGGGTTTGCTATAATAGGTAGAATTTTCATACATCATGTTTGTATGGGGCAATCTAAAGTTAATGACTGGATTCTAGACTTCTGGTCAAGGTGGAGGTGTTGGCAAACACTTCTTGTTTCTTTTCACAACCACATCAAAATTACAAGTAACTATAGAACAACCATCACACAAAACCATCAGATATTGAGTTGAATGGAAGGTTGACAACCTCATCCAGAATTAAAGAAACCACATTCTTCCAGACTGGTAGGAGGGGTGAAGACGTGGAACAGGCTGGTCACACATCCATGTGTCATGGATAAAAGTTCAGGAGGGCTATCTTGGGAGCAAGGAGTCCCAACTCCACTCCAGGCCCTGTAGCCCAGGGTTCCAAGGCCAAGAAGACAGGTCTCCATGACTTCTGGCTGTAAAAACCAGTGGGGATTGAGTAGGTAGAAGAAACTTCTTGAGTCCTGAGCAGTGCCTCTTAAAGAACCCACTCATGGACTTACTCAGACTGTCTCCCTCTGAACTCCAGCACTGGGGTAGCAACTTGAAAGGCACTAGGGGCATATAGGGAGGAACTGAAGTACCTGGCTTAATGGTAAGAGTTGGGGGACAGCATTACACAGATTCCAGTATGAGAGAAAAAGAGAAAGAGCAAGAAATTGGAAATGTTTTTGAAAAAATAGTGAAAGAAAACTTCCCTGATTTGGTGAAGGAAATAGACATGCAAGTGCAGGAAGCACAGAGAGTTCCCAATAAGATGGATGCAAAGAGGCCCACTCCAAGACACATTATAATTAAAATGCCAAGGGTAAAAATAAAAAGAGAATCTTAAGAGCATTAAGAGAAAAAAACAGTTATTTACCTACAGGGGAACTTCCATAAGACTGTCAGCTGATTTCTCAAAAGAAACTTTGTAGTCTGGAGGAGATTAGTAAGAAATATTCCAAGTCATGAAAAGCAGGGACCTACAGCCAAGACTGCTCTACTCAGCAAAGCTATCATTTAGAGTAGAAGGACGGATAATGTGCTTCCCAGACAAGAAGAAGCTGACGGAGTTCATCATCACTAAATCATTATTATATGCCTGGGTTGTAGGTTCTGTCCCCAGTTGTGTCAAGTGTGAGAGGCAACAGATATATGTTTCACACGTCAATGTTTGTCTCCTTCTGTCTTACTCTCCCTCCCTCTAAAATCAATAAAATGTCCTCAGGGTAAGATTAAAAGAAAAAGAGAGAAAAAGAAATGTTAATTCAAGAAACAGATTATTTAGGTCATAAATGGTAGACTTAAGATTTATACCCTTCAGGTATTTTTGACTAGTAATCTTGTGCTTTAATGTATGTCCTGTGTTGCTTCCCAGTAATACTTAGACTGTACAGTTAGAATTTCATCTCTGTTAACTGGAAAATCTCTTTAATATCCTTGTTTCTCAGTGTTATGGCATAGAAAAAGGAAATGATGATGATGATAAGTGGCAATGTTGTTTGCTATATATCTTAAGTTGGTTATGAACAGCAGTTGAGATTGTCAATACATAATTGTAAAGCAAAGGTGTCCTGTCTGTCCTGTCATTCTTTAAGTGAAATTTTATTAAGTGAATGTCTTTTATATGAAGACTGTGTTCCCCTAGACAGATGGTACCTTACATAGATAGAAGTATTGCCCAGTGAAGAGAATATCACCTCTTTATTATTACCTAAAAGCTTGTGGGGTTAAAGCCATGGCTAGAAATTACAGGGAGACATTTTAACTCAGTATAAGGAATAGGTTTCTAATCATTAAGGCTGATTAGCAGCTGCTTTATAAAATAATAAAATTACCTGTTATAATAATTATTTTGCATCATCTATCAGGATATTGTTGTAGGTGGGAGACTAGACTAAATAACCTCTTGATAGATATCCCTTCAATTATATTTCTATATTTAGTCCTCCATAAAATTTTTTTAACAACCTCAATTTATGAATCATTCCTGTGCTTTAATATCTCAGAATATGCAAAGGCATGATATATTTTCCCTCTGCCATATACCTTTAAGGAGGGGTTGACAATAAATTAGTCACATGTAGGGAGAGCCATTTTGGGAATCATTAAACTGAGTATTTTATCTTAAAATATTTTGTTATGTAGGGAATATATTGCATGAAATATATCCTCAGGGTGTTCCTTCTTCATTTGGTGTGTTTATAGTGTGCTTTAGGTGCATGGGTTTGAAGTCAGAAGTCTTGTTTAATCATGTCTAACTTAATACTGGCTATTTAATCTTGGACAGTTTTTAAAGCTCTGTGATAAAGGATGCGTGCAGTATGGAATTCAGAGAGGAGTAATAGTGTAAGCAAAGTCAGATAGGAGTAGGGTGTTGGGAGTGTTTTCAGTTTTTCCTATAGTACTCAAAATGTGATCTGCTGACAGCAACAGTGGTAAATACTTGAAGCTTGTTAGAAAATGCAGAATCTCTCACTTATACCCCAGACTTTGTGAATCAGAATCTGAATTTTAACAAGCTGAAGGTAAAGAGCAGAGCATTCATTTAGAACAGTGTGTTGTCAATCCTGCCTGCTCATAAAATTACCTGGGGCGGCACTTGTAAGTAATGCTGATAGGGCACTACTTAGCTTCATTTCTGCACAGCCACAGAATGGGGTCCAGGCATTGGTAGTTTTAAAAGCTCCAGGGGTACTTTCTACAATATGTGGATAGAAACATTAAGGCTGCCATTGCAGATAGCCTTTGAAGAAATTCTGGATGAAGAGCTTTGGAATGAGCAATAATGTCTGATTTGTTTCTGTTTCAAGTTCTTTTGCTTGATAATGTAGTATGCATCCACAGATGTTCGTTGAGTGTGGGACACGTGAACAACTTTCCTTTGGAATAAATCTTCTCATGTCTGTCTTTCTTTCTTTGAATATTTCTTTCCTCCATTTAACAGTAGCAGAGAAATAAATCACTAGCATTTTGATTATCAGAGTATGAGAAGGTAAATAAATCCTTACCTAGAGAAAATTAGGTGAGCATCTTTCCAGAAGAGAGGAGTTGTGTTACTGGTACTCAGTTCTTGTCACTGATGCAGTAAAGAATTACAGATCAGTGAGACAAAAGTGGATGAGTAAGATTTATTAGTACATCCCCACAGCCTCAAGGGAGAGAACAGGCCTGCTGAAAGTGGCAAGAAAGACTTAGCATGGAAGAAGTAACAGGAGAGCCAAGGCTACGCTGCTAGCTCACTGGAAAGTCAGAGAAAATGGGCCATAGGGACTTGTTTGGGGGATAAACCTGGAATGAATTGCTAGCTGCCCATTGCCTTAGAGTGTAGTAAACCTTACCTGTGAAGAAAGGAGGGTGTGGAGGAGAAGGGAGGAAAGGGAAGGGCGGGAACTGCTCCCCCAGTCCTTTGTCTTGAGTCTTTTATCTCTTTCTTGAAGTCGGGAATCTTAGAGCAGGTCTTGGGAGGGTTTCAAAAGAATATTCACAGTTCTCCAGGGTTGCCCTTTTAGGGTTGTGGACTCCACTGATTGTTCAGTGACAGGGCAGGGGGTCTCTAGTTATTGCAATTGGTTCTGGTGTTCCCCACCTGGTTTTGCTGCTTTTCTGAGTCTGCATCTGAAACACAACTGAGGTCTTGATGTTATGTCCAGGGAGGAAAGTTCAAGGGAGTAATGTTTACCCTGGAGGTGGTGTCCTTGTTTTCCCAGTTTTGCCCCCTGCCAGACACCGGGGGCCTTCTGTCCTGGAGACCCTCTGCAACTGGCCATAAATTGCTGGGCCATTGTGTTCAGCTATCTGTCTCAGCTTTCCTATTCCACTTGCCAAAGAATTTTTCCAGCTTCTTACTATCTTGTCTCAGTAGTGAGGCATAGGTTTGCAGAGGTTGGGGTGGTCTAGACTTAGGAGCCTGGATTCCATCTGTGTGCCTTTGTGATCCTTAAATTTTCCTGAGTAGGGGAGGCACGTGATTAAAGTACTATTGTAAGGAAATTTGTTTTGCATCTTGATGTGTTGTCTTGAAATAAGATTAAAATCCACTGGAACTACTATTGAGGCTGTTGCTATAGTGTTTGAAATTCGGAGTGTAATTCATTCTAGAAGGGCTTTAAAGTTCTAAAATGGAAAGGAAGAGCTAGATGGTGATGTTTTGAAGAATTGATAGTATTTGAGTATAAAAGCAGGCCAATGTGACTAAGAAAATGGCAATGTTGACAAAATAAGTAGATAACATTTACATCATCCTTATATGATACCAGCCAGAGTTAGATATTTGACTAGTGTTATTTAATTCTAATAGCACTGTGATACCTCATTGTACTCATTTTATGGATTAGGAAACAACTCTTAAAGGTTACCTCCCAGCTTGCCCAAGGATACAGACAGCTGGTAACCTATATCACAACTTATGACTGACACCAAAGGCCATTTTCCTTCCTGATTCCAATATGTACTACATAGTTAACCATTTCTGTTGTAATTTTGGGATCATTTTTACACATTAGGTTTCATATTCAGCATCTTTACTCATGTCACATTACTTCTCGTTTTTTTTCAGTCAGCTGCTATTAAATGAAACTATTTTCTGAAAGATACTTGTTCTCTCCTTACTCAGTACTTGTTTCTCTGTTTTCAGCTCCTACCCAGCCTTTAACATGTAGCTCATACTTGACTCCTGTTACCTCTGTGAACCTTTTCTATTATTCCCAATGATTAGTGATGTTTTTGTCTTCTGACCTTTTATATTTTTGTATTTGCTATTATGTAATTACTTTGTAATAAGTATTATTTGATTCCTGGATGCGAAATGCTCATCAGTGAGTACAACCCCATTGATATTTGAAATACTAGCTATAGTATAAAAATACATAGTAACTTGTATGGGTAAGAAATTTCTACTTTATATATGAAGCAATAAGAAAACAAAAGTGGCTGTGGATATAAAGGACTTATTCAAATTGAGACATCATTTCCTTTTTGGACACTCTTCGCCCCAAACAACATGTGATGTGGTTTTTATTGTCCTCTAGGTTTAATAGCAGTGGAGCACAATGCAGCTGAAGCTAAATACCTAAGGACCTGAGTTAATTTTTTTAGTTCTTCTTTCAAAGTATGAGTTTGGACAAATGACAACTTTTGATCCCTCATCTATAAAATAGGGAAACTAATTCTTGTTGTACTCACTTTTGTTGAGAATTAATTTAGATCGTATAAGAGAAAACTCTTTGTAATTTGCTAAGTTTTCAGGATGGCAATGTAATTATAATGTATTTTCTTAAAAAAGATTGTATTAACTGCAGCATCTTACATAAGTATCTTTGCTTGTATTTTTAATTCAGCTTTCCACAGGCTACAAATCAGACATTGCTAGACAAATTTAAGCATCAACATGAAGAGAATTCTTACATTGAATTTCCAGCTGTGATGGAGCCTGCTTTCACCATAAAGCATTATGCCGGGAAAGTAAAATATGGGGTAAAGGTCAGTAAATTTCACATTGCATATGCTGTTAGGGGAGAGTTTTGTTCTTAACTATGTCACACTATCTGTCCTCTTTGTAGATGTGGAGGTTCTTCATCAGTAACAATTGGAGACATCATTATAAGGATAATACTAAAATTCAGGTTCTACCTCGTAATATATTATTATCTTTGGTGGTGTTTTTGTTGATTTTTTCATACAGATATACTTGATGTCAGTCCATTCTAGTTGCCTTTGGAGATGTGAAAGAATAGATAGCATCATTATACCTTAAACCCACTAGCTGATTTGTGTAGTTGAGTTTTTCTCTTCTCTACATCCACGAGGCCTCTTAGAGGCGTCATGTCTTCACGCACTATTAGGTATCTGTGCATTTGGACTTGTAATGAATATTGTAATGGACTTGAAATGAATATTGAACTCCTGTGGAAGGAAATCTTCATAATCTTTTGTCCATTCTTGTTTGTAATTAGTGAGCTGTTAACTTTCAACCACTTGATGTTTAAGCCTGTCATTTAAGACACTTTCCCAGGCGAGGCAATGGCAGTATGGAGCCTAGTCGAGCAATATGTTTTCCCCTGGGTCTTGAGGTGAGAGTCAGAATTTAGTCACTTATTCAGGAACTATTTACTAAACACAGAGCCTGTGCTTGGTGTTTCAGATGATCCAGTGATAAAATAGGCAAAAAGTTCATGGCTTTCTATATGTATATACATACATAGACCATATGTACATATAGGTGCATGTGTTTGTGTATTATATAGATAAATGGGGCTATGTGCTATAAATAAATGAATGGGTTCTTTGAAAGAAGCTAGTGAAATACTGGATTTTGAATTTGTAGATCCATGAATACCTCTCTGAGAAACTCAGATTTTGAGAGATGACCTGAAATAAATGAAGTAAATGATGAATATTCTAGGCCATGAGATGGAAAAGAACTTAGTATGTTAAAATAATTAAAAACAGGTCAATGTTTCTAGATTATAGTACGAATGGATCCAGTGGCATAAAATGAATTCAGATAATGGAACACAAGTTAATTCTTCAGGGCTTCTAGATGATGTTAAATGAGTTTAGCTTTTGTTGAAATTGTTATGGGGAGCAATGAAAATATTTTAAAGCTGAGGATGTTTTTAAAAGATTGCTTCGATTCTTATGAGGAGAAAGAACGATGGAGGATGGAAATGGAAGCTGGGAAATCAAATTAGGTAACTTTTTAAAGCTGCTGAGGTGAAATGTTAAGGTAAATTGAACTACAGGGGTGGCAGTAGAGTTGGAGGACATCTAGATGGTTACGAAATATATTTCAGAGGTATAATCAGTAGACCTTACTGATAGATTCTAGGTAAGTAAGTGACTTTTGGCTATAGTTGATGGGTGAATTTGAGTTGCCATTTTTTTTTAGAGCAAACATTAAGAATAACAGAATGGTGGTTACTAGGGGCAAGAGGGTGGAGGAATTGAGATATTGGTCAAAGAATTCAAACTTGTAGTTAGAAGATGAATAAGTTCTGGAGATATGCAATACACAGCATTATGATTATGGTTAACATTATAACGCAGTGTTCAAAGTTCTTTAGAGACTAGATCTTAAATGTTCTCACCACAAAAAAGAAATAGTAATTATCTGATTTGATGGAGATGTTAACACTACTACAGTGGTAATCATTTTGCAACATATAAATGTATCAAGTCAACATGTATAAATTATACAATGTTATATGCCAGTAATACCTCAATTTTAAAAATATTTTAAAATATGGTTTAAAACAAATAAAAAAAGATTGAGTTCTAAAATTATATAGTGAGGTGCATAGTATATAAACTTAAAGTATATGGATTTCTTGCATGCCTCTTCCTATTCATTTTCCCCTGCTGAGAAGTAACCACTGTCCTAACTTTTTGTCCTTAGTTTTACCTGTTATTAAATTTTAGATAAATGGAAACATATAGAGTGTACATTTATATCTGCGATTATTCATTCCTCCATATTATCACATAGGTTGAAACTGAAAGGATGGGAAAAAGATACACTATGCAAACCCTTACTAAAAGAGATGGTGTATTTACATTATTAGACAAAGCAGACTGTAAGGCAAGAAGTATTATAAAAGTGACACATTTCATAACCATAGAAGGGGCTAGTCCAATAGGAATGCATAATCATCAAAGTTGTATTACCTAATGATTTCATTTCAGTACATATAAAACAAAGTAGAGCAGAAGTAGAGCAAGTCCTTCATCACAGCTGTAGATTTTAAGGAATATCTCTTGGAATCTAACAAAATAAGCAGGCATGAAATAAAAAACAAAAAAATTGAACAGCATTCTCAAACAACTGACCTAATTGGCATATCATAAGGATAAGTAGATGGTCTTTGGGTGTTTAGAAATTAAGCACAGTTCTTTTATATAACTATGAGTCAAACAAGAAATCACAATAAAGTCATAATTTAAATTGAACATTAATGAAAACACAAGTTATGAAAATTGTAGGATGCATTTAAAGCAGTTATATCTGACTTTAAATGCATATATTAGAAAAAAGAATGATTGAAGAGTAATTATTTAAGCTTCCATCTCAAGAAACTAGGTAAAGAACAGCAAAGGACCCAGGAATTCCATCTGGGTTTTTATCCAAAGAAACCCAAAACACTAATTAAAAAGGACATATGTACCCCTGTGTTTATTGTGGCATTGTTTACAATACCCAAGATATGGAAGCAACCTAAGTGTCCATTGATACACAAATGGATAAAGAAGATGTTGCATATATATATATATATATATAGACTGTCCAGAAGTATCCAGACATATAATATGAAAAATTTATTGAAGAGACATTTATTGAAGAAGGTACAAGAAACATACATAGTATGATGACGCCTCGGTCCCCTTCGAAGTAGGCTCCTTGGGACCTGACACAGTTCTTCTGGTTGCTATCAGGTGCCCTGTTGTATTTTCCTGAATTCATGATTCAGTCTGAAATCTGTTCCCTTTCAAAGGTGATTTTAGTTTGGGGAAAAGTCTCAAGTCGCAGAGTGCCAAATCTGGGCTGTGGTGGATCTGAGTCACCTGGCTAACTTGATGTTTCACCAAAAAATTCTGCATGAGATGTGGTGCATTAGTGGGCGCATTTTCATGATCAAGCTGCCAATCACCAGTTGCCCATAGCTGCAGACTTCTGAGTCATCCACATAGTTTCTAAGCTAATGTTCAAGTTTAATGCAAATTCTTTTTTGCAAATTTTCATATTCAACCTTTTGTTTTTTTCATTGTTATTTCAGTTATAGTCGTCACGCCTTTTTCCCCACAGCTCTCCCCTTCCCTGTTCATCCCCATTCCCACAGTAAATTGCCCCCAACTGTCCATGCCCATGGGTCCTCTGTTCATTTTCCTTGGCTTGCCTGTTTCCCTTCTTTTCCCCCTCCCCACTCCCTCTGGTAACTGTTAGTTTGTTCTTTATTTCCAAGTCTCTGGTTCTGTTTTGCTCATTTGTTTCTTTTGTTGATTAGGTTCCACTTATAGGTGAGATCATATGGTGTTTGTCTTTCACCACCTGGCTTATTTCACTTAGCATAATACTCTCCAGTTTCATCCATGCTATTGCAAAGGCTAGAGGCTTCTTTTTTTCTGATGTGTAGTATTCCATTGTGTAAATGTACCACTGTTTTTTGATCCACTCATTTATTGATGGGGAGTTAAGCTGTTTCCAGCACTTTGCTATTATAAATAATGCTGCTATGAACATAGGGATGCATAGGTTCTTTTGAATTGGTGATTCAGGATTCTTAATATATAATCCCAGCATTGGGATCATTGAATCGAAAGGCAGTTCCATCTCTAGTTTTTTGAGGAAATTCCATACTGTTTTCTACAGTGGCTGGAGCAGTCTGCATTCCTCCCAACAGTGTACTACGGATCCCTTTTTTTCACAACCTCATCAGAATTTTGTATTTGTTGATTTATTAATGATGGCTATTCTGACCAGTGTGAAGTGGTTGTAATTTGCATTTCTCTAATGTCTAGTGGTGTTGAATGTTTTTTCATGCGACTCCAGGCCCTCTGTCCTCTTTGGAGAACTGTCCATTCAGGTCCTTTGCCCATTTTTTAATTTGATTGTTTGTCTTCTTGGTATGGAGTCATGTGAGTTCTTTATATATTTCAAAGACCAAAACCTTGTCTGAAGTATCATGGGCAAATATATTTTCCCATACTGTTGATTCCCTTCCTGTTCTGTTGATGTTTTCTTTAGCCATGCAGAAATTTATTAGTTTTATGTAGTCCCAATTGTTTATTCTATCCTTTGTATACCTTGTCCTAGAGGATTTCTTACTAAAAATATTGCTGCATGGTATATCTGAAATTTTCCTGCTTATGTTTTTCTCTAGGACTTTTATGGCATCATGACTTTTATTTAAGTTTTTTATTAATTTAGAGTTCACTTTTTATATGGTGTAATTTGGTGGTGTAGCTTAATCTTTTTGCATGTACTTGCCCAGATTTTCTAATGCCATTATTGAAGAGGCTATTTTTACTCCATTTAATGTTCCTGCCCCTTTGTCAAATAATAACTGATCATATTGACGTGGGTTTATTTTTTGGCTCTCTGTTCTGTTCCATTGGTCTGTGTGTCTGTTCTTATGCCAGTACCAGGCTGTTTTGATTACAGTGGCCTTATAATACAGTTTGATATCAGACATTGTGATCCTTCCTACTTTGTTGTTCTTCCTCAAAATTACTGAGGCTATTAGGGGTTATTTATGGTTCCATAGAAAAAATTTTTTTAATTTTATTTATTTATTTTCAGAGAGAGGGGAAGGGAAGGAGAGAGAGAGAGAAGTATCACTGTGTGGTTGCCTCTCATGTGTTCCCCACTGGGAACTGGCCTGCAACCCAGGCATTTGCCCTGACTGGGAATCAAACCAGGATCCTTTGCTTCACAGGCCTGTGCTCAATCCACTGAGCTACACCAGCCAGGGCGGTTCCATAGAAATTTTTGAAATGTTCTATATCTATGAAATATGTCATGGGTATTTTGATAGGGATTGCATTGAACCTATAGATAGATTGCTTTGGGTAGTATGGACATTTTGATGATGTTAATTCTTCCAATCCATGAATGTGGTGTTATGCTTTCATTTATTTGTGTCTTCCTTAATTTCTTTCTTCAGTGTTGTGTAGTTTTCTCAGTACAGCTCAGTTATGTCCTTGGTTAAGTTTATTCCTAAATATTTTATTTTTCTTGTTGCTATTGTAAGTGGGATTTGTTTTCCTAATTTCTGTTCCTGATATTTCATTTTTGGTATATAAAAATGCCTTTGATTTCTTAATGTTCATGTTACATCCTGCTGTCTTGCCAAATTCATTTATTAGGTCAAATAGATTTTTGTTGGAGTCTGTAGGGTCTTCTATGTACACTATAATGTCATCTGTGAAAAGTGGCAGCTTTACTTCCTCCTTCCCATTTTGTGTGCCTTTTATTTCTTTTTCTTGTCATCTCTGTGGCTAGAACTTCTAATACTATGTTGAATAGAAGTGGTGAAAGTAGACACCCTTGTCTTGTGCCTGTTCTTAGTGAGAATGCTTTTAGGTTTTGCCCGTTGAGTATGATGTTGGCTGTAGGTTTCTTGTATATGGCCTTTATTATGTTGAGATATAATCTGTCTATTCTCATTTTGCTGAGTGTTTTTATCATAAATGGGGGCTCTACTTTATCAAACACTTTTTCAGCATCTATTGATACGATCATGTGTTTTTTTGTCTTTTGTTCATGTGATGTATTACATTTATTGATTTGTTAACATAAAATTCGATTCAGATCCATTCATTGCTTTACTCAGTCATTTTTAATGTGACATCCACATTGTACACATGCTCATTCAATGGCAATTACCGCCCCCACTGATTAGTACAGTGAAGTCATCATTGTTCATGTATGTGCATTTCAGTCCACTGTCCTTGGCTGCCAGGTTACATTGATGTTGTGGAGACCATTCTCATTATGTTAATAATGGCTGGACTTTTTCCAGACAGACTCATATGTATAATGGAATCTATGACTCATCATAAAAAGAACGAAATCTTGCCCTCTACAATAAAGAATGGACCTAGAGGGTGTAATTCTAATTGAAATGGGTCAGCTAGAGAAAGACAGATTCCATGTGGTTTCACTTTTGTGTAGAATCTAAAAAATAAAATTAATGAACAAACCAAACAGACTCATAGATACAGAGAATATTTTGATGGTTTCCAAAAGGGAGAGGCACTGGGCTATATCGGTGAAAAATAGGAAGGTATTGAGATGTAGAAATCATTAGTTATACAAACATACAGAAGTTATAAAGAATAGTATTGAGAATATAGTTTTTAAAAATATATTTTATTGATTATGCCATTACAGTTGTCCCATTTCCCCCCCTTCATGAGAACATAGTTAGTAATATTGTAATAACTATATGTGGTGTCATATGGGTACTAGACTTGCTGGTGTGATTATTTGTAAGTTATATTGATGTTTAATCACTATTTTGCACACCTGAACCTAACTGTATGTTAACTATAATTGAAAAGTAAAAAATTATTTTAAAAAACATCAGCAAATTAAATCCCCCCAAATTTAGAAGAAGAAAGTAATAAAGGGAAGGACAGAGCTCAGTGCATTAGGGTGAAGACATGCAATAGAGAAATTGACAAAGGCAAACATCAGTTCCTTGAGAAGATAACAGAAAATGATATAAGTAAAGGGAGTAGAAAATAACTAATAATTGAAAGAAAGGGGTTCACAAATTACAGATATCAGAAATGAAAAAGGAAACTTTACTATACATACCCAATGGATATTAACAGAATATGAACATATTTTGCTAACAAATTTGACAACATAGATAAAATGGAAAATTCTGTGTAAAATACACATTAGTATAAATGATACCAGAAAATATAGGAAAATCTGAATATCTCATGTTTGTTAAAATAATTTGAATCAGTAGTTTTATACTTTCTGTCAAAGGAAATTCCAGGCCCACCTCATCTCACTGGTGAATGCATTCTTTCAAGTTTGCAATACTTTTAAGATGTGTAAATGGATCTCAGATTTAATAAGAAAGATCTGAGCTGGGTGTTAGTATATGGATAGTGCTTATGCTATCATTATAGTTGAGATTGATGAGGTCACCTGATATAAGCTAATTGAGTTAAAAATATGAGACAACATAGGATCAGACTCTAAGAGATTCTAATATGGGATCAGCAGAGGAGACTGAGAGGGGTAGTACAAGATGTAAGTAGTAAATCACAGAGTGTTGTTATAGAAACCAAGAGAAAAGAGTTTCAAGAAAAATGATGTGACTAGTATAGGAAATGTAGTTAGAAATCTAGAACTATGTAGACAAAGAGACAAGACCATTACGTTTGGAAAATGAAGGTCTCTGTCAACACTTGACAGTCATCATAGAAAAGAATTCTAGAATTTTAGATTATACAGTATAGTACAGGATGGGATGGTGTTGGGGTAGGGCAGACTGATGTTTTAATTCTTGCAGTGGTCCCTACTGTGTTTGGCCTTTGGCAAGTTTCTATGTTTACTTATCAGTGAAGTATGGCTTTTAATTGATTCTACTTTATTGAGTAATGGATAGAATTGAGTAAGTTATGTATAGTGCTTAAAACAGTGCCTGGCATCATGTGTGCTGTTGGTAAGTATTAGCTTATGACAATAATGGTAGTGGCAGTGGTGGTGATCTGGATTAGAAAATTCTTAACTTAGTTTCACTGACTTTTATCATTTATGCTGGGTGGAGCAAAAGTAGTTTTTACAGTTGTGAGTTTGCAAAACAGAGTTTATTCTTGTTTTGTTATTATTTTCTCTATAAGCAACTGTAAACCTGTTTTTGCCCCCACTTTCACCCTGTACTTTTATTTTGAATAAAATTTAGGGTATTTAGGGACAAGCCAAGAACCTAGACATCTGGCTTGTTTTCCCTTTTTCCTTATTCTCCAAGCAAAGAAAGAGGAATTAGGAAAGGAAAGCCCTGAAGCTAATTGGATGAGTCCAGCTGACTTCTGGATGTGAGGGTGGATGACATTATTCTAGGCATGCTTCTCATAGTATAATTTGGAGTTAGAGCTATTTTGTAAAGCTGCATGAACTTGAAGTGATTTACTCACCAAGTTTCAGTTCTTCCATCTGGGTGTGGTTATAGCAAAATATCTAGACTGTACATATCATTCTGGGACCTTCTGGTAAGCTTTTTGTCCTCCCTATCTTTCTGTGGAGTATTTTAATCTCTTTTCCTGTGTTCTGTTCCCTCCAACCTCATTCCATGTTTTGGCAGGGTTTTTTTCTGCGTATTTCTGGTCCTTTCATAATCTTAGCCAGCTATTAAAATGCAGATGATATTCATATGTATTTTCTAGAATTTCTGTAGGACTCCAGCCACATATATCCATCTACCTACTTGATGTCTATAGTAGTTATGAGTGGTTGTGTTTGAACCTCTTTTCTTCCAGTTACTGTATCACAGGGGCCGAGATAACCTACCTCTCTGTGACTCAGTTTCCTCATTTATGACTTAGGAATAATATCTATTTTAAGGAATAGTTTGAAGAATGAAATGAGCTTAAATGAGATAATTCATATAAAATGTGTAGAAGAGTACCAACACACATAGTAACATCTTCATAAATGTTACTTGTTATTATGATATCCTCACCATCTCAAACCAGAACTGATCTCTTAATCCTCATTTCCTATCTCCAAACCTTCTCTTTTCTCTAGCCTTCTCCATATTAGTGTATTGCACCTCCATTCACCTAGTTACTCAAACCCCAAATACAGATGTTAACCTAATTCCATCATTCTCTCACCATACCCTAATCCACCAACTAGTCCTTTGCCTTACCTCCATAACATACACATATGATCACTATTCTCCCTTTCTATTCTTACCACCAGCATAGTTCCAGTCACTGTCAGCTCTTATTTGGAATATTGCAATAGCTGATCTCCCTCTCTATTCCCTTCACAACAACCAGTGGTGTTTAGAAAACACCGTTTAGCTCATGTCATTATCCTTGCAATGACTTTCCTTTACACTTGAATAAAATCCAGGCTCTTAACTCAGGTTTATATAGTCTACCTAGCCTTTTTGTCTTAGTCTTCCAGTACACTTACTCTTTCCCAGAATGTTCCAGTCCTTGCTCTTAATGCTTTTCTCTTAATTTGATCAATTCATCACTACCTAGCAAAGATGTTCCATTTTCTTGGAATGCTGTTCCTGACCTTCTTGTGCCTAGTTCCTTCTAGTTATTCAGCTTTCTTGTTATTTTGTATGCTACCCCTTCAGAGAGGCTTTCTCTCACTAGTGTTTAACGAGTTGCAATAATATTATGGAATATTATTTCTAATTCGCATGTACTATAGAATCTAATAGTTTTAGGCTTGGGTGGGACTTTATAGGAGATATTTTGTCCAGTTAACTACCTAGAACAGAAATCACTTTGATAGTCCTTGTTCAACCACTGTTCAAACATGCCACCCATTATTTTCTTGGTTTAGTAATTTTTTTCATGAATGACACTGATACTTTTTTCATCTAGGATTTTCGGGAAAAAAATACAGATCATATGCGCCCTGACATTGTAGCTCTTCTGAGAAGTAGCAAGAATGCATTTATCTCTGGGATGATTGGAATTGATCCTGTAGCTGTTTTCCGATGGGCAGTTCTTCGAGCTTTTTTCAGAGCTGTGGTTGCTTTCAGGGAAGCTGGGAAAAGACACATTCAGAGCAAAACTGGTAAGCAGCAGTATTAGTATTCTACCATGCTTCATCTTTAATTTTCTGACCTCTCTAGGGAGTAGAGACATAATAATTTTACTCTGTTCTGTTTCTTACCATACCCTAGCATCATGTTTCAAATGTAATTTGTTCTACTGAACTTCATGTGATTGAATGGAATAGATATATGGTGTGTGTGTGTGTGTGTGTGTGTGTGTGTGTACTTTTTATTAATAAATACAGAGAGGAATAACAAGTATAAAGCTCCTGGTATTTAGTAGGTACTCAGTAAGGCATTGATGTTTTAGGGAGATGATTTAAAACCTTTCTTTGTTTCTAATATATAAGCATTTAAAGGTATACATTTCTCTTTTATGGCCTTAGTTATATTTCACACAGCTTAATATACAATCATTATTTTAATTCAATTGAAATATTTAAAATATACCTTGTGATTTCTTCTTTGATCCATTGGTTATTTTTAAGTATGCCATTTAAATTTTAATTTTTTTCTAAATATCACATTGTTACTACTTTCAAATTGGTTACTAGTGTCTAGTTTGTTTCTGCTGTAGTCAGAGAACATATCCTGTAAGATTTAAATCTTCTGAAATTGTGGAGACTTATTTTATGACCTAGTTTACAGTGAACATTGATAAATGTTTCATGTAAATTTGAAATGAATGTGTATTCTGTAGTTGTTGGTTATAGCGTTCTATAAATATCAATAAGGTTAAAGTGATTGGTAGTTTTGTTAATGTCATTTCTATCCTTATAAGTTTTAAAATGTTTTTATTCTTTAATTACTGAGAAAGGAGTATTAAAATATGTTAGTTCCATCAGTTTTTGCTTCATGTCTTTTGAAGCTCAGTTACTAGATATATATTTATTTAGAATTATTATATATTCCTGATAAGTTGATACTTTGTGATTATAAAATGCCTTTTTAATCTTTTGTAATATTTTTGTCTTTATGTTCATTTTCTATGATATTAACATAGCTACATAAGGTTTCTTACACTTATTGTTTGCCAGGTATATATTTTTTCTGTTACTTAAAACCTATTTGAGTCTTTTTATAGGAAAGAACTTTTCTTATAAACTGGGAAAAATAATAAAAAGTAAATGTAATTGTTGTTTAATTATATAGAACTTAATATTGATAGTCTTTTCTGCTTTTTTGATAGTTTTTACTAAAAATAAATTAATTGAATGTGGAAGCATATCTCAGGACACAGAAAAGTTATGATGGGAGATAGAGTAGTATAGTGGAGATAACCTGACTTCAGTAGTCATCCAAGTGTCATCTCTTCACTTCACTGATTCTGCAACTATTACTCCAAGTCTTAACACTTGGAGTGTTAGTACTGCCTTCAAAATTATGACGGTAAAAAAGTACCTGTGAACTATCAGTTTATGAAGTATTAATTTTTTCTTTCTTACCCTTAACTGAGCTTGTTGAATTTTACTTTGAAATTTAGAAATAGTAAAAACAGGTTACTTTTTCTCTATGCCTTCTCCTTAAATCATAAAATATCCCATTTCACATTCTGTGGCAGGACATCTTTGTAAGCAGTTGTCAGCAGTCACACTGTTGCTTGCTATAGTTCTAGTCTCAGACCATTGCTGCATAGTGAGCATTTTATAATGTATATGCATTCGTTTACAATCCATTTTCTGCCCAGAGATGCTGCAGTGGAAGTGTGCTAGGGTACACTTGTGTTTTTAGGACTCTGAGACTTACTTACGTGGCTTTTTGGCATATGCACTTTTTATTAGTAAATACTGAGAGGAATAACAAGTATAAGTAAACTTTAATTTCAGCTTTGATATATTGCAAATGGATAACTTTATTTGGGAGGTTTTATTTCTAAAATGAGAAACAAAATCTAATTGAATTTAATTTCTGTTTTTCAGATTTTAATGTGTGCAAAATGCCCTTTGTAGATAAGGGAGAATTGTAGTTTAAAAGGAGTATCTTAAACTTGCTTGCCTTTTGCAAAGCTATTTCTGAGAAACTATCTTTGCCAAAGTTGTAAGGAAAAGTTTTTATCTTTTTTATTAATAATTGTTATTTTTACTGCAATGGACTTACCAGCTTTGAAAATTTTGAAATTGATAAGTATCCTGCTAAGATGTAACTAAGCAAAACAATTTTTCTTGTATTTACTAAGAAATATATTCTATTTTATAAATATTATTTGCATTTGCATCCACCTTTGGCACTTAAAATGTTTGTAGAAATTGGTTATATGTATATAATAGTCAATTTATATAAAAAATTCACTGTTAATAATGATCAACAAATTGAACCTATGTTATATCTGCTATAATAATTTCTGAATTCTTCTTGTTTTGTAATCTGGTTTTTCTTCCCATCTCACATAGAGGTTTTATACGATATAAATTATTTTTGGATACTCTTTTACTCTGGGATATAACAGGCGTAAAGAAACATGCACAAAACAAAAAATGTGTAGTTCAGTGGATGATCACAAAGTGAAAACACTCTTGTTATCACCACCTAGGTTAAGAAAAAGAATATTTCCAACACCCTAGAAGTCCCCTTTGGATAAAGTTTATGGATTTTACTTTTTATAAAGGAAAAGGAAAACTATAGTTTATTTGCATTTTAAGGCAATGAGTGAGCAGATATGTTGCTAAGAATAATTGTTACTGTATACCATTGTCAGTGCCAGCATTTAGTATTTTTGCTCCCTCCATATCACTCACCGCCTATTATTTTCTGATGGTTTTGGGATAAAAAGATACAATAAAGGTAGAAATTATAGCACTGTAAAATAAAAACTAATGGAATAACTGAAAATGGATTAAGCAGTAGATTCAGAATTTTTTTAATGATTGTAAATGTGTGCAAACATATCAAAGTAAAACAGCAATTAGATATTATTTTAAAAGAAGCAGAATATATGGAAGGCAGAATAAAATTAAGTTCAGATCTTGAATGAGAATAAGAGGTCAAAGATCATACTTCTAATGAAGATAGAAGATGTAGACTGCAGAAATGCAATATCACATCTTTTGTGATATCACTATCTTTACAAAAATTTCAGTGGACTCTTAATTTATTGTCAGCAAATATCCTTACAATGGTAAAAAAAAATCTTGGAGTTTTGTTAAGAAATTTCCTGACTTTTTTTTTTCATGAAGCCAGCTGAACACAAATGAGAATATCAACTTAAAATCTACATTTAACTGTCATTTTTTTACAGACTTTCAAATTAAAAAACACAGTGCCATTTTAAGCTTCTTAAATCAAAATTAAGTCAATTTATTTTTTTAAAGAATAAATTTGTTACAGGTCTGGAATTTGTATTATGGTGATCAGGAAACCACAAAGTGTTCTTAGTGGTGTCATATGTCGGCAATCTGAGTGAAACCTGCATGTTGGCTTTGCTGCACGGTAGAATGAGAAATGGTAATGGTTTGTCTGGTCAGCAGTGAGGTATTGGAGAACAGATATTCCATTGGTATCATCTACCTTGCCTCTGACTTAATCCCCCTGAGTAAGAAAAGTCTGGATTAGAGCATACAGGGGAGATCATAATTCGGCCCTGAATTATACAGAATGTAGAAGTGAGTACAGTAATGCTTTATTTTGTTCTTTTGGAGTTACCATAAACATATAGCCAAAGAGGATTTTAGTCACTTTAAAAAGACTAGACAGAGATGGGGAATTAAGCTGTGGGAAGACAAATGGTTCAAAATGTCATTCAGTTTCTTTATCTACGGGGAGAGAAGCTAAAGTCATTCATATAGTGTCTGCAGATAGTTTTTTTTAACTTTTTTTATTGTTGTTCAACTACAACTGTCTCCATTTCTCCCCCACCACCAGATAAAACTCCCTCCCAGATAGAGTTTTAATGGTTCCCATTTAACGTGTTCTTTTTCTACACCTCACTCATTGGACTGTTTGGCTCCAATGTGCTCCCATTTGTTTCTGCAAGTAATGGAAGTGTTTCAGTGACCCTGTATTTCCACAAATGACTGCACACTAAAACTGATTGGGGTATCACCAGTGAGCTAGGATTTCTATGCAGGACTCTGTCCACAATTCTACTCAATACTGAAGACAGTTAAATGGATTTAAAAAACAAAACAAGGCAAAAATCCCTGACCTTTATTTATAAATCACTCTTGCATCAGGCACTGTAGTGTGGCAGTTAAAGAGTAAAGGTTTTATTTTGAACTCAGTGAATGATGGAGTAAGGACCTCAGAAAATTCCCTCTTCCATAAAAGCAACGAAAACACTTGTAAAAAGTGTCAGAATTCAGGAAATTCATCCAAGGCTCGCAGTAATTTCAAAACTGTTTATACAAACAAAAAGAGCTAGATATTGGTAAAGATGGTGCACTTTGGAGCATTTTAATTTGCATTATTTCTTTCATGGCTCCATGGTAGCCTTGAAACTAAAACCCTGAAGCACAAGGAAAAGCAGGACTGTGGCAACCATGAGGGAGAGTAGAAGAGTGTTGGAGCTCCTTCCAAGCCCCATTTCCAGAGAATTTTCATTATTTAATCTATTGGGCCTTTAACCTGACTCAGTGCTTGTCCAGTGTTAATACACCATTTTACCTAGGGGTGTTGTCTAGAAACAACCAGAAGCAATTGTTGAACATTACATCTGCCTGATGCAGTAGACAATAGTTGGGGTAAAAAGTAACCAAAATGCTTAAAAGGAAAAGGTAGAGAATGAAGTCTCCATTGTGGCTTTGAAAAGTTCCCACATATGTATGGGAATCTTAAATAGGCATGGGCATACATAGGGCAATGTACATGGCCTGGGCTATGTGCAAGCTCAGAAAAGACCTGAGAAGTTCCTGATTTCTCACCTCTGGATAGCCTCCAGACACTGTGCAGGCGAGTAGTGAAGGACGAGGCAGAGTTGTAAGTAGCCTAGCTGAGCATTGAATGTGTGCCAAACACATACACAGTGACCCCTCACAAAGACTGGAGATTAATTGGTTTCAGGCATGTAAAGATATCTGTCTGCAAT